TCACTGTCAGATATCATCTATACTTGTCCCATCTATGCCTTGTCCACACTGTGCCTCGACCCCACTGTGCTACCGTTTTTTATTTTGATTTGTTGCAAAAAAATGTTATTTGTATTTTTCCATTATAAATGTTTGAAAGAAAAAATATATTTATGTATTGACTAATAATTATTTCTTAAATATATATATATATCTTAATAAGATATTTTCTTCTGGATAAAACTAAAAACCAATATAATTCAGGTTAATATTGATAATTTTCTAAAGATATTTTGAATACATATATTTTTACTAACAAATAAAAACAGGAAAACTTCAATAAAAATCTAAATTTTCAAGATCACATTGTGATATTGTCTTTATATATCTAGTATGGTTTATTTTAATCATTTTACTTTTAAATTAATAATAAATCACTGTTAATTAAAAAAAGATACTTAAGTCATTTTTCTTATACTACAATATACTCTCATGTCTGAATTGTATTAAAAGTTTATTGCTAACTCGTTATTTATTAAAAATATTGTCATTTTTAGCTTGTCACAATTTTTTATTGCCAATGTAAATAGGCTTGCTCAGAAGAATGTACAAAATATATGTCTATTAACTTTTGCAGATGGGCTTGTAAATTTATTATTCACTAAGCCCAATGAGTTGGACAGTAGAAACTGTGATATTTATCCTAATTGTAGTCTCATAAATGAAAAATTGTTAGATCACTTTACTGATTATAGTGCTACTGGAAGGTATTAAATTAAATAAAAAATATGAAAATTCACAATTTAAATTTGATTTTTAACACTTATTTGTTTTTAATTTATTTACAGAGACTTATCATCAAAAATGAAAGATAAAGCTATTTGCCACATAATTATTTTGATGCTCTTAATTAATATGAATACTATAAATCTTAGTTGGATATCAACTTTTCTGCCTTCAAAATGTCAAAAAAGGTAACATTTTTTTTTTTGAATATTTTAACCAATTTAGAAACTAGAAAATTTTCTATTTAAGATAATGACTAGTGGATAACAACTTTTGTACCAGTATTTGGGAAATTATTAACTTTTTAATATAATGACTGGAGGTGAAGTGTGGGTATGTCTATTTTTATTTCTAGATAATAATGAACCATTCTACTTCTTTCATCTTATTATAAAAATTCTAATATCTTTTAAAATACTACTCAAAAAGTTGTTATCGACCAGTCATTTTCTTAAAATGATCATTTTTTAGTGTGTAAGTTGTTTGAACATATATGTTATAACATAAAGTTCTAAGGGGGATAGACCAAATTGTTTGAAATTATAGAATGTAGGATACTATTAACTTCGGAAAAGAAATTATATTGAATTGAATATTTTAGAGATAATATATGTATTATAGCTAAAGAATCAATTGATATATTTAAATTATATGTACATTTGTTATTCAAGTGTTGTATGTGAACAAGGTAGTGAAGAAGAGGTTCTTCTGACTCAAATATGACTAGTTATAACAATACATAATATAAGGATAGGCCTATTTACCTACTTCATCGAGTTAATTGTAGAATGTTTAACAATAGAGCGAATAATATGTAGATATTCATATAAAGTACATGAAATACTTTTAGGGTTTACTTCTATATAGATGTGTTAATACTGTACAAGTATTAATTTCAAAAAAAATAATGTCTTTAGTTTGGTTTAAATATTATTGTTATTATTATTAGAATTATATTATAATGCATTTCTTGTTTTCCCTCTTTATTTCTGTCCCATCTGTTATTTTTCTGACCTCATTCCGCTGTGCCTATATATATTATGTATACATAATTATTTTTATGTACAAGCAATATGCTTGCATTATTTCATATTTCACATATGAATACTCTTGATGTATTGTTTACTCTTCTTTATATTAACAATTATAATATAATATTCAATATTTTTTTCCTTTTACTTTATGATAAATTTTATTTTTCAAAATATTGTACTTAAAAATAAATAAGCTAAAATTCAAATAGAAAGTAAAAAAATATAAATTGTGTACATATAGTATTTTTTTAGCAAATTGCTTTACTACTATTCTATCTGAAAAAACTTGCTTCCTACAGAGTGTATCACGACACTAACTCTTTTTTATTTAGAATTATTAAATATATATCAGTCCTTGTACTTCATTATCATCTCGGGCTTAACTTATTATTTGGGACTCCCAATAATGAGTGAATTTTTCATTATTTTTATTTTAATCAAATATTTTAGTTTAACTAGAGTAAATGTTTAATTTTACAACTATTAATTATTAAAAATTTCAGGTTAATAACATTAATGAGAGTTGTTGGTGCAATGGCAACAAAAGAAGATAAAACTAAGTTCACACTAAAAATACCTTTATCATCTCTTCCAACTTTTCAAAAAACATCTAAACGAAAACGTTAATTTAGTACATATTTTATGTATATTTTAATTAAATGGACAATGGAATGCTTATATTTTTTATTTTTATCAAAACTATTTTTCCAATTTCTTATAGATATTTGTAATATTTAAAATATATTTGTTTTCTCTTATAGTCAAGATTTTACTTAGATAACAAATTATTACTCATATCTAATAAAATTAACAACAGCCTGTTCATTTTTTTACTGTCTGTATGCATAAGAAATTGTGAAACCTTAGTAGGATAGCTATTGCTATTGTATTTTAATTTTGTGAGTAATTATTAGGGTTCTACAACAATATCGATATCACAGAGCTTTTTTATTTTTCTTACAATGTTGATTATTTTTAATATATCGCGATAATCGAAATTTTTATAAAATTAAAATGAAATTTAGTCACTTTGTTTTTTTTTTTAAATAAAATATTCTCTTTTTTTGTATATTTACAATCTACAATGCGTACAATAAGTAAATTTGTTAAATTAATTGATTACATGAACAGAATGAATGAGTAGTTCACATTAGAATCTCCCCACAATAAAAGTAAAGTATTTACATTGTTAGTTAAATTTATATAAATTTGAAGATTTTTTTTTTTTATTTATCCCTTTAGTTGCTGGATAATAGGTCTCTATACCAGGTGCGTTTAAGACATTGTGTTAAGTTGTTAGGAAGTGTTTTAGTGCTAAGTTGTGCTATTCAAATTATTAGGATGATTTAATAGTTCACAATGATATCTGAAGAAGAATAGTGTTGCAGATTAACTTATAGTTTTAATATTTAGTTCACTGTGAAGTTGATTATTATTTAAGAACCAAGGAGCCCTAGTAATGCGAAGACATTAATTGAAATGCTTATACGATTTTTGTATTTGATGGTTTTGCCAATCACCAAAAAGAATACCGTAACTCATATTGGTTGTAGCAAACTCTTGGTCACCTTGTTATAAAATAATAACAATAACATCATTTGATATTAAGTCAAAAACAGTTCGTGATTTTTCGTTTAAAATATATTATGAGATAAGATAGTGGCAGTTAAATATTTAAATAGAGAATTTTTATATGTTAAGCAGATAGATGTTTGGCTACAAACACATGTTCTTTATATATTAATAATATTTAAGAAAAAATTTAATTAAAGACAAATATGAATAAATAACTATAAAAAGTGAATTCTAGCTAAGCCATGGTAATTTTTATTTTAATGCAATATATTTTTAAAAGCTACAAGTAAAAATGTTCATAGTTAATCTATTCATTATATTTATTATTAGAGAATTATAATTCAGAAGTTGAAAGGTAAAAAATATTACATATTTTTTTAATTTCAATAGATACTCGTTTAAGTAATGATAATTTTCATTGAAAAAAATGTGTTAATAACCAATAATTAGGGTTCCTTTTTCTTTTATTCTTTTCTTATTAACATATACCTACGTTTAAATTAAATTAAATTAAACGTGAAAATGTACAAAAACTATAAATACTCTAGGAATTTAACTTTTTAATTTTGCTACCCAACTTTTTTTTTAAATCTGTTGTATAAAAAGACTATTTTTTTAAACAATTTAGGATGAATTATTTAAATAGATTTCTTAAAAATTTAAATTTTAAACTTTAAAATTTAATTATTTTTAAATAAATTAAAAGAATATTGTAATTTTGTAGTTCAAAAGTGCACACTTATTAAAAAATAAAGTACTGTTAAATAGTTACTGAATTAAAAGTTGAATGATTTGTCAAAACATTATAACGTATAATATACGGGCCGGTTTCACATGCTCTAAATATATCAAATAGAAAAATATTCTATAAAACCTGTATGCTATGGGCTCTTAACCCAATTGGAAGTTATATATCGAGGATCAAACCTGAGCCGTACAGACTGTTGAGTATACTCAATATTTTGTTAAAAAAACATTAATTTTTAAACTACCATGTGCTTGTACAGGATAACATATATTATTTACCATATGATAGACAGTAATTTATGTTCTGAATATCCATTTATTATAAAAGCAATTCCCGTTATTATCATGAAAAACGACTAGACATCATTTGAGTATTCTAATGACACTTATATATGAACCTTAATTTTATGTTATTCAATGAAAAATATTACTTATGTACATATTATAAGTTAATTAGAGCAATATTAATATTTTGTTTTCAATGATTAATTTTGTTGTTAAAATTAAATTCAGTTTTATAATTCATAAAATATTAGCTTGTTTTATAAAATCAAATCATATAAGCTCTTTTTGGTTACATAATTTGATTATTTAGTTACACTTGGAAGGACCGCTTCTCTTTTCCAAAGTTTTTAGTGTCTTGCCCAGTTTTCCGTAACTCCTGCGTTGTTGATCGATCTCATCGACCAAAGGTTCTAAAGTGCAGTTCACGATACCACATCTGTCAGTAAAGTATGCAACTTCAGCATCCTGTTTAAAACCTATGCTATGGGTTTTGCCTAAATTCTTGCATGTGTTATGAGACGTTTTTGAGAATGACCTTAGGGATTTTAGAGGGTTTGGTATCAATGTCATGCCCATGTTCTTGTATGTCCAACTTTGTTCTTCTTCTTCTTTATCTTTCAACTGTCATAAGCCAATAAAGTTTATTTAAATTTTTTCGTTGATCTAATGTTTATGAATTATAACGGATCATAACAATATTTATTTTATTTTATTTAATCTACTAAAAAAAAAGAAAGTTTTGTCCATAAATTAATTGCTAGAACGAAGAGCTTAATTTCATAGTCCATCTAAATACTTTTATAAACTTAATTCGATGCTTTTCAATAAAGATATCTCAAAAAATAATTATGAGTACTGAGAAAATATGTGTTATCTTAAAAAATACTTATGGCTTACTGTAAACTTTTTTGGAAAGTTAATAGGTCCTTCCAATGTACTAGATTGACTTGTACATTTAANCCTTCCAATGTACTAGATTGACTTGTACATTTAATGCCATTCATTTTAAAAACAATTGGTCACTCTAAATTTAATTAGAACAGCGACCAATTAAATGTAAAAACAATATTTAATCCATTTTTCTCACTTCTTTAAAACAGTAAATTTTAATAATTTTGCTTTAAAATGCATGTTGCCAAGCAGCCAACATTAGTCTAACATATTGATAAAAGATCAATTTATAT